CCTTTGCTCCCAGGATTGTTTCCCATTCCACTAGTGTGACTCTATAGAAGAGGACGAAGCTTGGTTATCTGTTCCTGGCTAAAAACAATATTATTTCCTTATTATTTACAACTCACTTATGGACTACAGCTATTTTTCTTTACCTTGAGACCACACTTTTCCTCTCGTGATATGGTTACCATGATACCAAACAAACAGTAAAAATTAAAATGTGGATACTCCCATGTAATTTATTTAGTTTCCTTGATTTGAATAAAGTTCCTGATACTTGTGCTAGCCAGTGATTTCCAAACTCTTTTTTTCCCCCTTCTTTTAGTTATCAGTAGAATTTGTTTTCCCAAACCATAATAATAACAGATAAGAGAGGACTACCTTGAATGGAGAAGTTTAGGCACAAGTACCTGTTCGCCATCTCTTGCCAGCCACCAAGAGACCTTTGGGTAGAGGCTAAGAAACCATTGTCTTAGTCGTGTATTATCACAGAAGTACAATTAAGTTGAAAAAGTATTGCCATCACTACTTATAATAGCTCAGAGACCAAAAGAATTCTAAAACAGTACGAGGATTGAGACAGAATCCATTACAAATGCCTCATGTAAAGAAAAGAGGCAGAGAGAATTTCTAGATCAAGCTTGCACTATTTGTTGGCGGTAAAGCCAGACTTAGTCCCCGTCTCCCATCTTCCAGCGAAATGATCTTCTGTTGTGGTGGTTCCTCTTTTTTTGGTGCTATTTCTGGCTATTTACTCCCTCTGAGTTCTGAGTCAGAGAAACACTTCCAAGATTCGGGAAAAAAATCTGTGCATACTCAACCATGATTTTAAAAAGGGAACAGAAGCTGTACTTCAATGGGAAAAGCCACACCAGGCCACCAAAAGGCCGGTATTTGTCACCAGTTTCTCCTGGTCACACACCTCTAACTTCCCTCCTTCCTCAAAAAAGTCAAAATTAAAAAGTACATCTGCTCCTTTGAGAGCAGGGCCTTAGCACAACCCTCCACATCTGCCACAGGAAGCAAGCTCTTCTCAGATTAGCAGTTATTATACTAGGAGGTAAAGAGGGATTGAAGTAGAAGAATAAAATGTAAGAAATGTGTTTTATTATTTCTAGGTTGAAATAATAAAAAGGGAGTATTAGTATATCCTAGTAAGGTCATATGTTTCTCAAGATGAGATGACTAGAGAAAGTGGAGAGAGAAAAGGATGACTCTAAGAGACATTACTTAATTTTTTTCTTTTTTCCCTTAGAACAGTCTTTATTCCTGCTGTGATCTGTGGGGTCTTTACTTCAGTTACTAATGATACCCCAGTCCCCGGCCTCATATATATGTATATATGAGTGTTGCTTATTAGCCATTCTGGAAGCATAATGGACATTTAGGTAGAATAGAGCTTTTTGAACTTCAGAAAACTCGTGCTCAATTATCTGCCATGAAAATACTGAAAAATTCTGGGAATAGTCTTAAAATAATTTTGCTTGTACACCTTTACGTTTGTGCCTATGTTTGTTAGGATTGAAACAGAAGAAGGAGCAAGAAAATTTATAATATTTGACATTCTGAGGCAAAAATATGTCCCTGCAGTTCCTGCCCTCCTGGGTGTTGACTAGCTACAGGGGTAGTTTGCTTTAAAATCTTATTTCACTTAAAAGAAAATTTAATAGCAACACCCACTCTGCCTCCCTGAAATTATCATTGTTAATAATCAAGTACATTCTACCATGTTCTTTGACAAGAATTTGTAGGTAACCCTCTTCATGCATTCAGCCAGAGTGGGCACTCCTTCCTAAGGTTTAAGAAAACATGAAAACCACAAAGAATGTTTGCAATTATTTTCTCTTGGTTGGCAGAACAGATGCCTTTCCTCAAGGAAAATGCTTTAGGCCAAAACAAAGCCATATTCATTCAAAATATATTGTTTAGTAACTGTGCAGACTCTGGATTATATAAAATTTACTTTCAATGCAAGGATCCTGCTTTCCTAGGAAAGGTTTATAAGCAAAATGGAGCAGGAAGGCAGGCAGAGGATAAAGCGTTAAAAGAAATCAACTATACCAAGGGCAGGAGCAGTTCAAGAAACGACAATGCAAGTGCATTACAGGAAAACCGGCAATGTGGACATGATTTTGTGTGGGGGTCATGCAGGAGCACCTGGCTGGCTTTATTTATAAGGCGATTGTCAAATCAATCTGTAGAATATGGATGAGGTGAAACGCAGAGGTAGAGTATTATTCTAGATCATCTGTAACTTTTCAAATATAACCTTCATGCTGAAATTCCACAGAGAATGTAAGTGACTCCAATAAAGAAATCTGTCAGTCAGGCAAGAGTGTTTATTTATTATCCCCCTGGGTCAGGCACTGTTCTAGCCAATATGAAATGATACAAAATAAAGAGTAGTCATCACCTTTATAATCTCCAGAGAGCAAATGGATTAAATCTGCAAACACATCTCTCTCATACACACACATACACACACACACACACATACACCCTCTATGTGGGTGGCCAAGAAACTCAACTATGCAAACATACAACAGCCTCATTTAGCAAAAGACTGATTAGAATACTAAACTTACAAAATTAGAAAAACTGGGGAGTAATTAGTTTTATTACAAATAGATTAAAATGCATTCATAACGCATGCCTTTTGTATGACAAGTCTCATTATGTTATTAGAATTGGGAACACTCCCCTTCTCCCTCAAAAATCTACAAGACATTTTTGGAATATATTTATCACGCAAATGTAGATTCACATTGGTGTTGAGGAGCTGCTGAAGGGAATAAAATAACAAGGCTAAACTCTAAGTTCTCTAAAGTCAACGATTGGGTCTTATTTATTTGCCTTGAATTGGTAAAGGAATAAGAATGAATGAATGGGATAGGTGAGCAGAGGTTTCAACCGTAGAATTTTAAGAGGGAAGAAAGAACAGGACTAGGTATTACAGGCAGAAGTCAGGTTGATTGGTTCCGGGCAGCGTCCAAACATAGGAAGAGGGCTTGGCATCTTCAGCATGACTGAGGAAGGATCAGCTTCTCGTTTGATGTGGTAGGAGTATGCCCTGTCCAAGCATTCCCCCGTCCACTTTCGGGGCAGCTCTCCTCACACAGTAGACAGCCTTGCAAGGCCAGGAAGGGCAGCTCCTTAAAGAGGAACATTTGAGACTCCACTCCTGTTTCAGCATCAGCCTTAAGGTTATAGCCTTCCTTCCAATCCGGTAGGGAGCACCATACGTCGTCGAATTGTTTGCATTGACTTATTTAACAAGAGGTTGGGTGATATTTCTGATTTGCTTTCCAGGGCACTTGCTTGATATTAATTTCATGCAGCCCAACTAGTATGTAAGCTTCAGAGGACAGACACTTTCCTCTGTTTTCACTACCACAGCCCCAGCTCCTAGAACAGTGCCTGACACAGTAGGAATTCCATAAAGACCGTATTTGTTAAACCAATGAATGTTGTTATTCTTTTGGCTGTTTGTCTTGACATTTGCTTTATCCATCTCTCTTCAGAGGGCTGGAAACTGGAGAGAAATCTTTGAATTCAATTTGCCTTCTTCCTTCGGTCCAGAAACTCTGGCCAAGGGTGCTGGCCAAGCCCTTTGGGAATGGGGATCCCCTGGGAAGTTAATGACGAGTCACGGCCACAGGGGCTGGGGGAAGAGGGAGAGCGGCAGGAAGTTCTTCCCCATTTCTTTTCCCAGCACCATTCGCCATCCAGTCTGATCTTTCTTTGGGGTGGGGGGCGTCCTGTGGAAAGCAAACCAGGGGCCTCCCCGGCTGCATTCCTCGCCGGGGCCGTTTGGGTCCCGTCTGTCGCGAGCCCCGCAACACCCCCTGTCTGTGCCAGCACCTGTTGGACTGCTAGTTGGCGGCCCTGGCCGGCGGGCGCGGACGCGGCCCGGGGCTGCCCCTCCCCGCGGCGCCGACCCCCGCCCGCCCCGGTGGCCGCCCCGGGAGAGCGCTCAGCCTGCCCTGCTCGCCGACGCGCGCTCCGCCCGGGCTCGGCCCAGGCCCCCTCCTCCCGACCGCCGCCCGGCGGGGGGAAGGTAGCGAAGGGGAGGGGACAAGCCGGAGCTGGGGCCGCCCGGCCTGCTCTCTCCACCCGGTGCCGAGACGCCGCGCGGAGCCCCGAGGTTTGCGCGGAGCCCGAGGCGTGGGAGTAGGGGACGGTCAGCGACCGGAGCCCCGCGGTGACCCCGAGCTGCCGAATTTCCTCGGCTGCGAGGAGCCGGGGGACGCACCCGAACAAGGTGAACTTTGATCGCCGAAAACTCCAGCCAGGTGCCGGAATCCGTGCTGCGGCGGTCGGGACCGGGCGCAGGCTGCGCGCCGGGCTGGGGAGCAGGAGCCCGGCGGCCTCCCTCCGCCCGCGCCCGGGGCGGCCTCGGCGCGGAGCACCCGGCCCCGCTGCGGCTCCGAGGCCCCGGGGACCGGCCGCGGCGCCCTCGCCTTGTTTCTTCCCCCTCCCCCTCCGGGGGTGGGGGTGGGGCGGGGGAGAGGGGCGCCCGGAGAGCCGCATCTATTGGCAGCTTTGTTATTGATCAGAAACTGCCGGCCGCCAACTTGGCTTCGAGGCTGGCTGCGCGCGACTCTTGAGTTTTCGCCTCTGTCCTGTCCCCCAAACTGACAGGTGCTCCCAGCAACTTGCTGGTGACTTCTCGCCGCTCCCCCGGCTCCCCCGCGTCCCCACCCCCTCTTTCCTCCCTCGCCTTCACCCCCACCCCCACCACTTCGGCACAGCTCAGGATTTGTTTAAACCTTGGGAAACTGGTTCAGGTCCAGGTTTTGCTTTGATCCTTTTCAAAAACTGGAGACACAGAAGAGGGCTCTAGGAAAAAGTTTTGGATGGGATTATGTGGAAACTACCCTGCGATTCTCTGCTGCCAGAGCAGGCTCGGCGCTTCCACCCCAGTGCAGCCTTCCCCTGGCGGTGGTGAAAGAGACTCGGGAGTCGCTGCTTCCAAAGTGCCCGCCGTGAGTGAGTTCTCGCCCCAGTCAGCCAAATGCTCCTCTTCGGGCTTCTCCTGCTGACATCTGCCCTGGCCGGCCAGAGACACGGGACTCAGGCTGAGTCCAACCTCAGTAGTAAATTCCAGTTCTCCAGCAACAAGGAACAGAACGGTGAGTCTTTCCCCCCCAACTCCCCCTTCTGTTTTCTCGCTGTGTGTGTTACGTTGGCATTGTGCGTTGGTGTGTGATGTACACCAGCCTGCGAGGGTAGAAGCGGCTCTCTAGCCATGCAAATGCGCGCTGCGTTCATTGGCATGGCCTTTTGGAGGTTACGTGCAGTTTGCAACTTCGGGAGCTGCTACAAAGCTCTAACAGGGCAACGTGAGTGCCACCGCAGCCTCAGCCAGAGAGAGGACATTCTGGGAGCGATTGTGAACGTCAGAACTCACATTGCAGGACCTCTCCTTGCCAGAGTTATAAGTTCAAGAGCTGCTTCTAAAAACGAATCCAAAATGAATGAGTCTTGGCATGTTTGACTTTACTCAGATTGTTTTTTTTTATTGGGGAGGTGGGTGTTTCAGGAAATGTATCGACCGCATTAATTGAAGCACTCTAAGTGGAAAGGCATCAATTAATGAGTAAGTCGATAGGAAATATAGAGGTCAACAGGCCGCACAGACGTTTTTAGGGGGGAATTAAAAAAATGTACTTCTCTGGCGCTCTGTTTTTTTTTTTTTAAAATGTGCCTTTGCACTCTGAAGTCCTTACCTTTCTGGTGGTGTGTTTTTATATGTGTTGGTGAATGACTGCTATTTTGTGTGTGCTGGAAACGACTTAATCCTGCATAGGAAATGAGAATTACTTTCAGCTTTCAAGTGTACCTGAAATGTTTAGAAAACTCTCAGATGCAAGTTCCCTTGGGCTGGGATTGCATAGAGCTGGAGAAAGGCTTCTTTCATAAAGCCAGGGCAGCTTCAGGGTGTGTAATTTGCTTAGCCTCTGAACCCCATATGATTTACATCATTCAATTTCTAAACTCTTTTCCTCTTGATCTACCATTATGAAGTCATTTTTGAGAATACTTTGTAAATAGAAATTTTATCCTGCACACGAAACCACAATGTTAATGTAGGCTGTCTAAAATTAGACTATTAAACACCCTGTTTACAAGTGGTGGCTCTTAATGTTCTTTGAAAGGAAATGTACATGTTTTTACTGCTTTGTGTGTCATCTATTCAGAATGCAAGAATGCTGTCACTTCATTAACCAGGCGAAGTGAGCACAAGCAGCATACCTAGAAAATCAAAATGGTGTGTACCCTATTTTTCAGTCACAGCAACTTTTTCTTTACGTATTGGGGTGTTTCAAGACTTCAACTTTGAATTTAAACCCTCTCTAAAGTTTTCATCTTCAAGAAAGCACAGAAAGTTCTTGAGTAAAAAATTAGATGAAATAAGGATTCCTGGGACTTTTGTAGAGATTATTTGTATTTGTTGTGTGTGCAGCAATACACGGTATCACCTTTATCAGCCAATATTAATGTGGTTGCTTCTTACAACTTGCTAATGCGATGGCACATGGCACCTGCAGGCCGCTTGAGCTGCTGATCAAAGGGCAGCCTGGGGATCTATCTCTAATCGCAGGAGCTGCAGAGGACTGGGGGAAAGTGATCAAAGGAGCCATCGCACCAGCGGTACCCGGGCAGGAAACAGATCAGACCAACCTTTGTTCTCTCTCATGTAAAATAAATGTCCAGTTCAAAATATTGCTTGTTACTAGACAGACTTCTCCCAGCATGACAATGCATAATATTCTTGGCTTCTGGCTTCTGATTTTTATTGTTCCTGTCCCATATCATTTCTCCTACTGCTCTGCCTTATCAAGCCTGTCCTGGCATGTGTCTTCTTCCTGATTCCCTTTGCTACTTGTGCCCCTCCTTGTCCTTTCCTTGTTGTTCTTTCTTGTGATCGACGTACATCATCACTCTGTAATGGGCTCCAGAGATTTCAGACGGTCCTTGGCCGCTTTACCGAGGAGGTTCACAGCCTCCGAAGAGGTGAGTTCATGAAGCCAGGCCACACACAGTCTGTTGCCATCAGAGGCTGGGCCATTTCCATTCCTAAGATGCATGGTGCTAAAAATAGCCTGGTTGTTTCCTAATCTGTGGGCAGAGGATTGGGCTATGTTTAGCTCTTGGGAGGCTGGCAGCAGGAAGTAACTAGAGGTACAGGAACTACTCACCTTGCAGTTTTTAGCCTAAGGAGAAGTGGGACTGGGCAGCACTAGGGGGCAGTACAGAGCTATTTTCCTGCACATGCTCAGGTTGATTTTTATGCTTCAGGGTTCCCAGATTTGAGGATAACAGGTAGGTGCTAAAGAAGATCCCCTGGAATGTGAACAAATTTGCTGGAACTTCTTTTTTTTTTTTCTGGCTTTCAAATTTTCCATTCTCTCATGTGGATGTTTTTTGCCCTCATACTGAGTTATGATTGGTTTTTGATGGCCCCGTTGCTCTTCTCAATTTTGACGATTGTCCAGTTCTCTAAGTACCAAGCCTCCTGAAGATGCCGCATAGAAAATGCCATTGGCCCAGTTGGTGCATTGCATCATTTTGTGAAAGGTCTTCTAAGTGCTGAACATAAAATGTTCAAATTGATTTATTGTGACTATAGGAGCCCATTCCTGCTTTCGGTCTCCCCTCCGCAATGATATTCTTTCCTGGAGTATTCCCGAGTCTCAGATGGTGCTGACTCATTCACATACCAGGGCTGCGCCATTTGAGTATTAACTTGTAGTCCTAAGAGGTGTTAAAAATGGAAATTGATTGCTATAGCCAGTGCTAGATATTTGAATTTAGACTGGAAAATGTGGAGGTGCTTCAGAATTGGTTTTGAGGGATCAGTGTTATTTACTGTTATTCGTTACCTGGTTTTTGACTTTAAACGATATTGCAGTGCTTGCTACTTTACTATAAAAATAGCTTTATCTTCTAAGTTGTCTTTGTATCCTTCATTTTTTTGTGTGTGTGAGGAAGACTGGCCCTGAGCTAACATCTGTTGCCAATCTTCCTCTTTTTTGCTTGAGGAAGATTGTTCCTGAGCTGACAGCTGCATGAATCCCCCTCTACTTTTTATGTGTAGGACACTGCCACAACATGGCTTGATGAGTGATGCTCAGGTCCATGCCCAGGGTTCGACCCTGCGAACCCTGGGCTGCTGAAGCGGAGTGTGTGAATCCAACCACCATGCAACTGGGCTGGCCCCTGTATCCTTCATTCTTAATCTGATTTATAATTCTGAAATCTCATGTACAATCCAAGGGTCTCCAGATTTAACTTAAAGAAAGATATAAAAGATAAGAACACTGACTTACGTAGAGTTTCTGGCCTATACTTCCCATATGACTGTGGGAAAAATTACTAATATCTGTATGTACTCATTTTAAAGAGAATGCCTACTGTGAGATGAGTAACTTCTGAAACGGTGCTTCTGAGTTGTAGTGGAAGGAATCATATAGGTCAAAAAGCAAAACGAAACCAAGCTTACTTTGTCTATTGCATGTAGCCCAAATAGACACCAATCACAAAGTTGGTGACGGAGTCAGCCTCATTTACCTGTGTCACTGGAGAGTGATTTTCATATCCCGTAGACCTGAAACATGCTTCTTCCTGTTCTCATTTTCTTTAACTATTTTGAGTGTATATTTGGAATATGCCTCTGTGTATAGTTAGGGTTATCCTTATGGACATCGTTTATTGTATGTGCTCTCTTCCTGAAGGACTTCTGTGGTCTGTGGGGCCCTTTACTTTGGGGACAAATGGTCCCATGGTTATGGCTTTCTGAGTACACGTGTCTTGTGTTAATGGCTTTTCTGTCTCTCTTTATTCAGTGCCAGTTTTCTCTTCCTCCGGCTGCCAATGTGCCTGTGTCTGACCAAACTGTGCCCACTCCCCCACCCTTTTTTAGGTGGCAGCTCCAAAGCTCTGTTTTACTGAAAAACATAATCACAATCCTCAGAATAGCGTCCAAGAGTTAATAGGCTCTGACTGAAGACTAACGGGGCTTTCCTGTGAGTAAGTCTATAAGTTGTAGTACATGACCTTTGACATTTAATTTTGTTGTTTAGAGGTTTTTTTTTTTAAACTTCCTCTTCGTTCTCTGCTCTGTTCAAGATGGTGGAGGAAGTTGAAGAAGTAAAGTGACATTATGTAATGATGAATATTGTTTTTCATAATAGGTGACAAAAAAGCCCCCATTCTATTTTGTGGTAACTTTTTCTCCCCTACCAACTGTTGTCTTTTACATTTAATCTGATATACTTTGAATTTACCTCTAAAAGGTGTTCGGAAAGTACAAAGGTCTGTGGGAACCTTCAGGATCATTTGTTAAATAGGTGTAAATAGTTGCTGGGGTCCGACTCTAAACTTTCCCCAACGCTGTATTTTGCAGAGCTCTGTCTCAGGCACCGAAATCTTAGCTTTCTCTGCTCTTACTTCATCCTTCCTGAAACTTGTTTTTTAACTTATCTTCTTTATATTCACTTCAAGTTTTTTCAACCTTTGTAGTGCTAAGATTCTGTTCTGCTTACAAACTTGCACACTTTTTGTAGAAACAGAATTCTAATGATAATGTGATGTGTGTTAAATAATAATTGAATTCATGAATTGATAAGGTTCATACCTCCCACGCCAGATGTTTCCAAGACTGCTAAAATTTTTTCCCCATGGGTTTCTACTTCTATTAACCAAAATGGTAGAAGTCATAATGAAAGTCCTTTCATTTATTTAGTCTAATTTTTATGTTTCTGATTGTTTAATTTGAAAGCATTTTACGGAACCAGAATATCTCTATATAACGTTAAATAATTTCGATATAACTCACTTATTAAACAGTCTCTGTTTAATTATTTTTCTCCACCACTGCCTCCAACTGTGATTTTGTAGAATCTCCCTTTCCTATCGTCTAAGGGTAGTTCTAGTGGTAGATTTTCCGTTGGTGTGCACCAGTACTACCATACAGATTGTTGAAACGTTGAAACGTTCCCAATGGGTTGGAGAGAAGCTAGTGCTCCTCTTCTAGGACAAATGGAGTGTGTATGGACCAGAAACTACAGGGTTCACGCTTGGCCCAGCTCAGGACCTCTAGGATACTACTCCAACCTTTATAGCCTCC